GAGCATGACCCGCTGATCCAGTGGGAACCCTCATGTCTCCCATACAGTAAAGCTAAAGTCCTTAGACTAGGATAGGTATAGGGACAGGGTTTGGCGATCCACCAAACATGATTAACTCACAGGTTGAAAGTGATTGGGACATTGAAGCGCCAGGTATATCGTGTGAATTTCTCTGTGTATGTGTGAACTACATAATGGTTGCATGATATCACTTGGTAATTATGAATTGTGGATTCATTTGATTGTTTACTTGATGTTAGTTATACCTCACTCAGTGTCAATGCTGAGCGTGTAGTTGTTTGTGTGCTACACGCAGGTCACCAGGTAGAAGATGAATCTAGAGCCGATCCTGGAAGGAGATGAGGACGAGGAGATGTGGGTGGAAATAATGGAGGATCTGGAACTCCTAATTATTTATGAATAACTTAATACGTTTTCGGGCATGAGTCCCAAGTTGCATTTACTTACTTATCAGGCTTCCACACTGTTTTTATGTTTACTCCGATATTGGATTTTTGATGAACGGTTGGATGTTTTCCTAAATTGTTTGAAAAGTAGCGTACGTTAGATTCCGGAATGGTGACAACCCGATTCGCTAACCCGTGGATCCGGGTTATGTGAGTTGGGGTGTTACAGATCTAATATAAACTAGAAACAAAGAGAAACTCAAAAAATCAAAGTAAAAACTCAAAGGTCATAGTGATGCGCACAGAAACTTAGAAATAACATTTTTGAAACACTTTAGAAAACCCCAAAGAGAAAACCATGCAGTAATGAACAATTTTTATGTTGCATCACAAACTTAGTATGTTGCATTTCCACAAATTTTCTGATAAATAATTTCATCGTGTTACAATGCATCTTATATTCTCTGATGCATAACAAAAGTGTATGTAATGCATTTAAACAAGAAATAAACATCATGACTTTTAATTTCATAATTATGAATGTGAAAATCAATAATTTTATCTAGATCTCTTCATCACGAATTGAAAACAAATTATGTTGAAATAACAAAAATACATAAAAAATAATAATTCGAAAAACTAAAAAGAAGAAAAACATATCTACAGGCACTACAAGAAAAAAGGGATATGAAGACACTTAAAAAAAGTCGTCTTTTATATTTAAGGACACTAAGACAAAGTGTCCTCTATCAAGGAGTCATAGTAAGTATGAAACAAGGACACATAATTTGCGTCATCTTTTCTATATAAGGACACCCTTAGAGCTCCATAATTGGTGTCATGAATGCCATACAAGGACACATAAAATGTGTCATCTTATTACTTAAATCATGTTCTCTATTATAAACTATGACACTATTTATGCGTCTTAAATTATTTCTAAAGTGTCCTTGTTTCCATAAGAAGACACAAAAAATATGTCTTCTTATACTTGGCACGTACCAATTAATTTGTACAAAGACGCCCTTTGTACGTCCTTAAAATATCTAAAAGTAGTCATAGTATATCAATAAGAGGACACACAAATATATGTACACTTTAATTCAAAATTTCATTAAGTAATAATTAAAGATGGGAAATCCCAAAATTAGAAGTACGGTAGACCAAAAATCAATTCAAGTTGACCAATGAAACATCTACTTAAATACAAAACCACCGCATCATATTTCGATCATATATACATATATCCATCTATGTTATTTCAAAACTAAATATGCTAACTATTAAACTTCATTTGCTTGGATATATGAGTCAACCACTTCTGCCCACTCTACTCGAACTTCATCAATCTCTGCTTGGGTGTATGAATTTTTTTCCTTGAACTGAAATAATAATGGTAAATATTTATAATCAATGTGTCAGTATAACTTGTAAAAGAAAACATGGTATACTTTTATAGACAATTTACATTGGTTACCATATAGAGTAAATTCTACCACCAAAAACTAACTAAATTAATATATACTTACAGTACCGGCCATTACCCAGTACTATATTACAAATGTTTTTCTCCCCTAAATATATTGTACTGTATAAGAAAAATTGAGTATTATTTGTATTAGTATTATTCTTATTATTATTATAGTACTCCATATGTAGTATACTAGCTTAGGAATAATCTCCAACAAACTAGCTAGGTTCAAGCTGCTGGTACAAAAAATTAAAAATAAAACTAAACCAAAAGCATATCCCATATTTCAGCCAACCGTAGCCCTGAGATCAAGTTTTAGCCAACAACAGTCCAGCTTTAAGATCATGTTTTAGCCAAAAGTAAGCCAATAGTAGCCCAGGTTTAAGGTCAAGTTTTAGCTAAAAGTAATAAGTTAATATATGTACATACCTTATCTTTAATTGTATTGATTGAAGTTCCAATGATATCTTTCATGTATTTCATGATGTAATATCCAGACTCCTCAACTCTTGCTTGACTAGGACACTATAAAATGAATTGAAATGTCTCACATTTACGTGTTCATTGCATGTAAGGAGTTCATGACCAACACTAAAACAAAAAAAGTACATACCTGAATAACTTGCCAATGTATTTTTTTACGACTATTTACACCTTTTTGAGCATAAAATATCTTCATGGCACTGCATATAAATTGTATTAATAAAATTAAAATGGTCTCCACCCATTTCTCATTAAGGAAAAGTATAAAAAGATAAAAATCATTACATTTCGATAACATTCTTCATTCCAAGATTGACATTCATGTCACTCAACGGGTCAAGGTTATACACCAATGCCGCCAAAGGGTTGATAACAACCAGTAACCAATGATTCCTACAACAAAAAAGTTAAATAACAATGAGCTACTTGCTATCATTGCATTTTTGAACTACCAAAAAGAATTAGCGTGAAACCATTGTATTCATAAACTTACCCTGTATTATAAGGAGCAAAAAATAACTGGTCTAAGTGGGCAGATTCAAATCTATGTGATAA